AAAAAAATATTATAAAACCAGGCTTTCTTATTATTTGAATAAGTGTCCATCCTTTTCTAGTAATCTATGTTTAAAATGTTTTGACAATATGATTAAAAGATTAATTCATGAAACAGAAAGATGGATTTCATAGTGGTATTCCTTTGGCATTTGCTATGACTGTAGAAAATGTTGGATGAAATGTATCATTTAATAAATGGTCAAGATGTAAAATGGGGTCCATTCTTTTACAAACCCAAGACCCATTTCTCAATTTGATCATTGTGTTCAACAGTGAGCTCACTTATATGCCAACTACCCTTTTTTTTGCAAATGCACAACCTTCTGATCATAATTAAATTTGTGTTCACCAATGTTTACACATCAGAAGAAACCCTAGCTACTTTATTAATTTTATTTACTTGAAAAGATTTATATGGCCACCCATTTTTTGGCACACCACTCTGGCCAGTTAACAATAATGATAAAAACACAAGCAATAAAATTATAAATGTTAAAAAAGAAAAAAAATCAAGAATGTTCACATCTCTGGATATGAATTGCCTTCCAACCAGACCTTTTTGGTTCAGTTAAATACGGCTTGGTTCCCAGTCGTCAGATGTGTTTCCTAACAAATTTGGATTTGTGTTTTAATTTGAGAAGACTTTGACTGTTTTATGGAATTTGTTTGCTGTTGTCTCTGCCTTCCCTATAGATGGTATTTTATTTAGTGACAGAAAATCTGAACTATTTATGGGTGGTTTTTTTCACTATAAAACTACTGCAGCACTATCACATGGCATCTTCTCCTAAGCCATCTGTCACAGAGGTCTGGCATTTTATGTGAATGTTGGTCAGGCAGACTTAACCCAAGTTTTTTTATTATGAAAAATGTTTGCAACTACAATATTTAGCATTTTACTTTACAGTGGTTATTAAACTTGATTACTTGTAGCTCCGTTTCATGGCTGCACTTATATATCAACTATGAAGCCAAAAAAACACAAGGGTAATTATGGCAATGCAGTCAGACCCTGGAAAGTTCAGCTGGCAATGATACAGTTAATATCTTGGATTTTTGGAAGTAAGGGTTATTAATACTGATATAAAACTGTATGTGATTTTATACAGATGGCATAAGATGTGGTTACTAAGTTATTATCCGGGATAAGCTGTACTGGCAAATTCAGGGCTTAAAACTATCACAGGAGATTAAATTATTTACTAAAAAGGGACAGAAAGATATAGTGAAAGCATCTTAGCATGATCATATTATAAGTATATTTACTTCCCATAAATATAATGAAGTATATCTCTCTTAAAATGAGGGATTAAAATGTGATTGTTGTCATAGAAGAGTTTCTCATTTGTACACAGAGAAGTAATTGGCCCAATTGTTTTCAGCCTTTTCCGAGGAAAGCAAGAGACTTGATATTTTTAAAACCTTACAGAAGTATCATGAAAACTTTATATTTTCTGGATTATTTTTTAACAATACATTGTATGAGCAACATTCTCTTAAAAAGGTTGATATTTTAACAGCTATACCAAAATAGTTTATTCTTTTGTAATTTTTTTCACAATTTATTCTGTTTGGTTGTCTTTATCTTTTTCTCAGTAACAAACATATTGAATTGGTAGCCAGGCATGTATGGTGGAGCAATTAATCATACAGCAGATACATTTTCAGTCAGGATTTATAATAAAACTTTTTATAAGAACAATTCCAGAACATTCTAGTCACTAAAGCAGTAGCTGATCGGATTAGGCAACATGTGGTTCACAGGTTAAGGAAAATAACCACCAAAAAGCCAGCTAATCATACCAAAGAAGTAGTTTCATATATTTATTTATTTAGCATATGGCATATCATACATGGACTTGCAATATATGTAACATTTCACCTACATTAAAAACAACAACAAAATATGAATGTTAAAAAGATCTACATTCAGATACTAAAGTCTAGGCCATTTAACCATTGAAGCGCAGCATCATTTATAGGAAGAAAAAAAGAGATACTGGACCAGTATATGCCCTGTATTTTTACCTCATTTCCTGTACTTTCCTATTACCTAGGAGAAATTCAGGATAATCCAGTAAAAGAGTTTAGCATTGTATTTTGTCAAAAATGTAATGTCAAGGTTTATTGAGATAATTTGGTATAAACATTCCCACAATGCATTTGGCCAATTTGTTGCTCAAAATGTATGTCCAGGTTGTGATGGGAGGGCAAACAAAAATTACACTGAATCACTGACAGGGCTTCCTCTTGAAATCAGACCACTACTACTCCTCTGGAGGGTTGCAGACATCTCATAAGGAAATGTTTATTTTATCATTTGCTTTACTTGTTATTCCTGTTACATGAGCTGATTTTATTGAAAATATTATTGAGGAAATTTTTTATACATTTCTCTACTCTCAACATAATATATTTATGAAGGACATCATCATCATTTCTTTCCACCATCCCTTCCCTTTAAGTTAAGCCCCTTAAAGTTGACCCCAAATTCCTTCAAGCTGCCTGTGTAAAATTTACTAGGAATATCTTTTCCATGAAATCCCATTTTACTACAAATGTTGAGATTTATAGCAACTCAGAATATAAATGCTATCAAATTTTCTTAAAACAAAATAATGTAAGGCATTGTAGCTCAAAAATCTTTGCAAAGATTTTTATGAAAGTTGAAACTTTTTATAACTTCCTTATAAACTTTTTGTCTGACTTTCCTGAAAATATTATAGCTGTTTTGATATTACTGCATGTTTCCAATACTAAATCATGGGATGGTTCAATTTTGTTTTTTTTTTCTGAATAAGTTTTGGATCCAGGAAGTGAGTGTAATAATCCAGCCTCTGATTGGGTTTAACAATTTCTCTAAATAAACCATTTGTAGTTTTGCAATATTATATAAAGGGACTATTTAAAGCTATTTCATCCATCCATCTTTAAACAAAAGTTATCTATCTATTGGAATCCCCTTTCTCAATTCTACAAGTCTACCATTTGTATTTTAATTTGTATTGTATTGATTTTGTTTTGTCGTGGAATTAATAGTTGTTTTCCACATTCTGACTGTTTTGTTCTTCTTATTGTATTAATTTATTAAAACCTATTTTAATCTTAGTGCCAAAATCTATTAAACATATGTTGACAATTGCATTGTTCCTGAATTTTGTAGCATAGTTCCTGGGGTACCTTGGCCACAAAAAAGAAGCAGGAATGATAGAGTTCATTTGTTATAGATTGAGTACCCCTGAATTAGAGAATATCCTGAAATTTCCCATTCTTTCTCTGTACCAAAGGATGCTGAGATAAATGTAAAGACAGCAATCCTAACTGGTTTGGCCTATAGGGTTGCCTCAAACCTGGAAACATATTTTAACTCCCCCAAAACTTCAGTCAATAGGGCCTAAAGGAAATTGTGGCATTTAGCTCACACATCTGCGGAAGCATCAGATTAAACATCCTAACTGAACCTATGTAGGTCAAAACCTTTCAATAGTTCAGTTAAGATAATTTTGTAGATACCATAGGAAAAATCATATTGAAAAATATACATAATTTGGCCATAATGCAAGCTACAGATCAACAAGAACAATTTATATCTGATTTTGTTCTTCATTCTTTCTAGTGAGATATTATATTTAAGAGAGGGATACCACCCACATTTATTACGATAATCCTTTAACATGATTTTTTAATTCAGAATGCATTTTAGATCAAGTGAGATTGTAGCTCCTATGTAAAAGACAAGCGTTTTTGAATTTCTTTACCCTCCTCTAATGCAAATGTACGGTTTCTAGTGTATGAGGGAAGGAAGGAATGCAAAAATAAGATTGATAAGCAATGAATTTATGCTTTGATCCACAAGCGATCATAATTCTTTGCAAATAAAATGAGCAAGATTTAAATTAAATTAAATACCCACTGATTCAGCATATAGTTTATATTTAGGAAGCCTCTTTTCCAATTCTGCTTGCAATATGTAAGTGTTCAAACACAGAAAGAGCATTATTGAAGTATCACTTAAGTCTGCCTAAGAATTAAATATTAATGGGTGTAAACAGTAAAGCTGGTTTTAGATTTAGATATATTTGAATAATAGGAGGCATTTTCATTTATCCCTTAAAAGCTCCACATGTCTTATGGTGCCTCTGCACACAGCTCTTTAAACATTTCTCTCTTTATGTTTCAGGGAACTGAAATAGAAGTAGATGAAAATGGCACTTTGGATTTGAGCATGAAAAAGAACCGAAGTCAAGAAAATATTACTTCTCCAAGTTCTTTCAGTGCCAATGTCCCCACTCCTTCCTCCTCTCCTTTCAAAACAGGCAGCATTCTGGTCAATGCCACTTTCTACCAAGCTTTGAATGAAAAAGAAGGTTGGGATACACCAATCAATTATAGCAAGAGCCAGGGCAAAAAGGAGGAAGAGAAAGAGGTATTTTGTTTTATTTTACTTGATAATACCCAGGGGTGATGGAAATCATCTCTAATTTTGGACTGTTTATTTCCAATGCATAACTTGAGTCAATGATAGATACTGATGCACCCCTAAATATAAATAGAAACAAATGCAATTCATTTCTTGGTTTACTGTCTTAAGGACTGGTCAAGGTTAATTCTGCCTATCTGATGATGGTAAAAAGATATATTTAGAATGATGTGCCCTTTAATTGTTACGTCATGTTCATTTCTGAATGTGTGGTGGTATTCCTAGAAATCAGCAACAGCTTTAGGCTGCCAGTTTTTATGAGAATGAAGAGAAAACATTCAACCCTCTACACATATCTGTACTTTAAAAATATTGCTCATAGTGACCATGGCTGATAGGGTTGTAGTTTAGCAACATCTGAAGGACCAGCTCAGTAAGTTCTTTAACCCTATTTTAGGAAGGCAGATATGCATTTTTAAATATTTCTAGGCTGGAGGCCATGTCTAAAGTTTAGAGAGTATATTGTGAGTTTCCTTAAAATGGCTGCTACAGAACAATTTGTTCATCTACACAAATACACATAAATGGGGACACTTCTTGTCTCTAATTTAGTCATTCTAGGACACTTCCTGCATTTTTAAAAAATAGATGAACATGCTTCCAAACAACACAGTCATTCTCTATTTTATTTTCCAAGAAATATTGTGTAGAACCTAATAGCATTCTTGTACACAGAGATTAATGTTTTAGGCTGGTGTTCTGCTTTGTAGCATGATAAATCTCTGATTAATTTTGTTCTTAAAAGCTTAGGTCTAAAAAAGCTCCTATTCAGTCTCAAGGAAGAGGCCACATACTTCTGTTCTTGCTGCTTTCTATCTTGTTGGTATTCATCATATAGAAGCCAAAACCCATCTAGATCTAATATTTATTATATGTAAGCCTTTGACTTTAAGCCATACTATATAACAGCATAATAATGTTCAACTAGGAGATTTAACCAACCCTCAGTCAAATAAAATGGAGGGACAATTAAGGTATGCAGATCAAAGATACTAGGGTAGATATCCATCTACTATTCTCTAACATCTATATTTTCAACCCAGTTTTGATCCTGGGAATATGCCTAGGTTTGATGTAAGGAGTGGAATAAGACAGGAATACAATAGATACGTGTGGATTCTATACTGCTTGGCTATGTATTTCTTTGAATTTGAAATCTCAATTGCCAGAAACATATAAATCATATAGAAATTGGCTCTTGGACAGTTATCATCAAAGAAATCAATGAAGCACTTAAAACATAAGCCATATCTCATTTGCTCCTCTGTATTCTTCATCAAGGCATTTACAAAACATCAACATGCATATCAGTATCGTGCATCAATTTGGTTTACAATAGAAACTGAACAGGAAACAAAAATGCAGCTGTGGGCTGATACTCTCACATAAATAAGACAAATATTTACATAAAGGGAATCATCATTTGAAACAGATACTGTACTAAATTATAATTTAAAACCTGATGATTTCCTTGATTTTTGTTATGCCCTTTTCATTTATATGTTTATTGACTGTTGATAGTACATTTCTTGTTTGTTTTCTCCCTTCCCCCAACTTTTTGCTCATGTTTTCTATACGAATATTGTTGCCAGAATTAAGCAAAGTAGAATATTATTTAGACCTGCTCTTATGATGAATAATCAGCATCAGATTCTTATAATGCGAGTTGAATGACACTTAGATAAATTAACAGGAATCAGCACTGTTTATTCAGATTTATCTTTGTGTACAACATAAGAACAACGCATGTATAATGACTGCCAGGTGGAGACCATATTAATTACATGAAAATTAGTACAGAAAGTGGGAGATTTATTTCCATGTCATTGCAATCTTGCATTGCAAAGAAGGATTGCAGTTGTGTAGGAAGAGCCATCACCCCAATCTCTGGCTTTCTGCAGTTAAACAGCTGCTTTAAAGCTTCAATAAAACACATAAAAACAGAATGGTACAATTTGAAGTACCAATAGAAGAGAATATTTTGTAGCAGGGTTGAATTGTGGGGTCTTTGGGACTTTCTGAGCTCGGTGGTTTTCTTGCAGACATTTTATTACCAAATTAGGTAATATCATCCGTGCTAAAGAAATGTCTGCAAGAAAACCACCAAACTCAAAGAGCATCAAGGACCCCACAATTTGATGTCCTAGGACCTCAAGTGGCCCTTCTAGCCTTAGGAAAGAAAACAAAATTAAATTGTGTCTCTACCATACCCTTAGTAGTTCTGACTAAGATGAAAGACTAGAGACCAAGCTTTTTCTTTAAGACTTCTCTGGGAAAACACAAGTGTTATATAAGAATGTTCTTCATGATATTAGCCAGCAGAATAACATCTCAAGGAGGACCAGGCAGATGCAGGTGTCTAGGAGCAAAAGAGATCCCAAAGTGAAAGAAGGAAGCTCAGTGGAAACAGTGAGTTCAAAAAAATCAAGAAAGGCTTATGTCTCTGAGCTGACCAATCAGTCTGAAGATATGGACCTGAACTCCAACTTTCTGAGATATTTCTTCCTTCTGAATCTCACTAGAACAATGGATTTTATAGCCATTATTAATAAAATAAAAGAAAGTTAGTGTACTATTGTATGTGGATCAAAAAAGTGTACTATCTTCCTGAATCCAAGATATAATGGAACAATGGCAAAGTTTTATAAAATCAACTATTGAAGTAATATATATGACTTCCTCTAAGAATATAGCAGTTTTAGGTCGTTGTAAAAATGTGTTTGAATGAAACATTATTCTTACCATGTCTTAAACAACATGATGAAAATTAATACCTTTCCAGGAAAAATACAATAGATCCAATTTATTTTAATGAAATATGGCATAATCTAGGAACTATTTAATTTTTATATATGAAAATTCCTTGAGAAGGGAAACGGGGACCTCCAATTCTTTGTTCTTTGTTCTATTTAGTTTTTAACATTTGTGTATTCAATTAATTCATTGACAAAGATTTGTAAAGGTTAATTGTGGTATCTTTTACTCTTATAATTTTGGTAATCACTTCTAATAATTTAAGTGTCTCTGAAGCTGAAAATATTGCAGGCCCAAACCAAGGTGTCACTAGAAGTTATAATTGTAAATATTGCCTGTGGGCATATGAAAATGAATTAAGTAATTGGTTAAAAATAAAAATCCCATTAACCATTCAAACATTTCACATAACAATTTTTAACAATATCTATTTGCTCATAATCATGATATTCAAATTGATTTGTTAGTGGAATGATTTATATCTAATCTGTTACACTTTGAGTCACAAACAGTCCAAGTAAATTAACCTAATATGTGTGAATATTTCAAAAGATTGAAAGAAGGAGAGTTTATACTGAATAAAGCCATTCAATTTTGGTAATAGTAAAAATATATAATATTATAATTTAAGGTATAGAAAATATCCACTACCTCCCATCTTCAAATGAAAACTTCATTTTTAAAGCTATCTTTGGAACTGAGGGGGAAGAATATTATATTCAGAATATACTGAGTTTTTGAAAATGATTTAAAGAATAAATCTATACATTGATGATCAAGGGGCAAAATGGAAAGCAAAATCCTGGAATTGAACAACTGACTAAAATGAAGATAGCATCCAGATTCCTAGTTCATAGCCTACATCAGGGATGTCAAACTCAAGGCCCAGGGGCTGGATCCAGCCTGCGAGGTGCTTAGATTTGGCCCATGGGGCCGCCCCAGAAACAGCAAAGGACCGGCCTGCAGTGCTTCTGTCAGTAAAAGTGGAGCTTGGGAGGGTCATGTGCAGAGGGTTGCAGGAGGTCATAGCAGTTGAAAATGAAGCTCGAGATACTTTGTTCATGTCATGCAAACTGACTCACTCAAAAAGTCAATCATATTGTGAGTGATCAATGGAAAAAGGAGAAGAGACCACCCTAATATCTTTGGCTGGACACTATAAAGGATACCAGGATGACCATGGTGGATCTGAAATGGTGCAAGACAGAGTGGTATGGAAAGTACTGATCCATAGAGTGGCCAAGGGTTGGACATGACTGAAAGCTGACAACAGCAAACATCGTGTCAATATTTAAAAAGTGGAGAAAGAAGGCTCTGGTAGACTACAGACCAGTTAGTTTTATATCTATACTGGGCAAGTTGTTAGAACATACTATCAAACTTTGTCTCTGTGGACAATTAGAAAAAAAGAGTGCCATTAACAAGACCCAGCATCAGTTTCAGAAGAACAAGTTCTACTCTGGTACACCTTTATCTTCTTATGACAGAAAACAATAGTTTGATAGATGAATTAGATAGATGTAGTAAATTGATCTCAGTAAAGTAATCCTTTGATATAGCCTCTCTTTATCTTATGGACAAGATGAACAGATCTGACTTAGAGAGTTCTGCAGTCTAAACAACCAAATGCAAAGAGCATACATTAAACAATTCTCCATCATCATGGAAATAAATATTGTGGTTCTATCACTAGCTAGGTACCATTGAGCTTCTTTATAAGTATCCTTACAAGATGGGATAGGAAAGGTGCTTATCAAATCCGTGGTTGATACCAGGCTTGGAGGCAGGCTAATTCCTTAGATGGAACCACAGTCCAAATTATCTTCTCTTTCACCAGTTTGGAGGATGGGCTCCAGCACAAGTCCAAAAAGTCCAGGAGACTAAACCTCCAGTCCCAGTGACTGATCCAGATTGAATCCTGCAACATTACCTGGGGACACATTCATTTGCCTTCACTCATCAAATAGAGATGTTTATACTGTCATTTATAATATAAAGATAAAAGTATGGTAGCATACATGAACCAAAATAATTCTCCAAATAGGCCTTGGGAATACAGGAAGGAAGAGACAAAATATTTATCCTTTTACCTGAATAATTTGGTATCCGATCTATGTCTAAAATGTATTAGATCCAAATAATATTGGCTATAAATGAAAAAAAATCTTAGGTCAAAAACAGCATACTATAGTATAAAGGTACTATATTAGATGCAGCAAGTAATCATTATTATGTCTAGTTTAATATATATACATACATACACACATACACACCAGTGGTGGGATTCATTTTTTTTTTTTTTTACTACTGGTTCTGTGGGTGTGGCTTGGTGGGCGTGGCAAGGGAAGGAAACTGTAAAATCTCCAGTCAGAGGTGGTATTTGCCGATTCTCCAAACTACTCAAATTTTCCGCTACCGGTTCTCTGGAACTGGTCAGAACCTGCTTCATACCACCTCTGACACACACACACACACACACACACACACACACACACACACACACACACAAATAGAACTGTCAACTTAAAGGTCATTTTCTAGAAGTTTTTTTTTCTAACAAAGAAATAGTCTGTCTGTCCAAATGTCCTCCTCAAAAATAAATAAATAAATAATAAAATTCTGAATTAGAAAAAGCTGATATTCTTTTTAAAAGGAAGCAAAAAAAAAAAAAACACTGAGAAATAACTGGAGCTTTTAGTTTAGTTCAACTGTCAGTTTTCCAAAGATTTCAGGCCTTAAAATGTTAAAAGTGCCAGATGCTATTATCTGTTATTTGTGTTGTCATTATGTTCTGGTCTTTGCAAAAATCAATATAAATGTCCATCTGTACATTAATGGAATTTCATTTGATTTTTCCCCCCTCCTCCTGAATGGGTAGGAATATGGAGGCTGGCAAGGATCCTAAGAAGTATATAATTCAGCTTCCCAAATAACGCTCACACATACAGGCAGCCTAAGAGATCACTTAGAAACAGAATAGGGAGAAGTTAATTAAAAGAAAAACAAACAAACAACTCATACTTGTGGAAGACTTTTAGTTTACTTTATACTAGCTTTCTGGACCTTACCACTGTCTGTCTAATATACCTTTGTATTAAATAATGAGGTTTGCCTCTAGGTTTCTGCTTTTGAAGACAGATTGTACAAGCATACAGAAAAGGTCACATTAATAAACTTATTTCCAATAGCTATCTCTTGTATTTGAATAGATACAACAAACTCTGAGTACAGACTTTGATCTAAGATGACAGATAATGTAAGGTGACCATGACATTATTATTTGGTGTTGAACTACTCCAGCATGGGGAACATGCTGATTATTTTTTCTGCCCAGACAATATGGTTAGATTCATATGACTTGTTAAGCCATAGTTTGAGGAACAAATCATAGTAGCATGCAAATACGACATAGAAATTGAATGACCCTGGCTGCAATCAGACATCTTGTTAAACCAAACCCAAATAAACCACATCATGGTTTATCACAAACCAAGAATCAGCTTATAAAATCAGACATTCCTTTATTTTGACTAACTTCTGTTGGTAAAGTAAGTAGAAAACAGATAATAAAGCAAATGGAAAAGCATAATACTGGGTTTATATTTATGAACAATTTGTGCAATTTTCCCGTAACCTAACAAATGATCTGTTTCAATGAGTATATATGAGTACAAATTAAAAAGTAAAATTTCCATGAATTTTCCCACTACATTTAAAGATTTTTGTGAAATAGCACTAAACTAAAAATATGTTTCTTTTCAACAGTTTCTATTTACCATGAGTTAGCTAAGTAGATTAGGTAACAGAAACTGTGTATTCCACAAGTTGTGGGTGGAATCAGGTTGGGGGAAAATGAATTAAAAGATAGCAGTTTTTCAAAGTAACAGTCTCTTTTATTATTTCAGAAAGATCTTGCAATTTGTCCTGAAAGCCTGGAGGAAAAAAAATCCTCAGATGTTTCGGAACCCAGTCCAAAACCCAAGGTCCATTCAAGAGATCTCAAAAAGGAACTGATCACGTGAGTAGACAGACAGACAGACAGACAGACATTGCATCAGTTATGACTTAGTTTTCCTATATGAAGAAAATATTAATAAAATTTATTGGATAAAAATATTTTTTATTCAGTGATTCAAGAACTCCACTTATAGGATGTTAATTCTCAGGATCCCCAATGGTTTTACACAATAAACATAGAATACTGTATAATTAAACTCTGCTATAATAACTTACATACCTTGTAAACCTTGCATTAGATTTTAAAACACATGGAAATAGTTGTTTTGCTTGCTAATGTGCATCCAAAATATGCTTAGCTGTGCAATTTAACTGAAATATGTTTAAATACAAGTATGTAAAAGGTCTAAAAGTAACACTCGGGGCAAGGAACTTTTACCAAATATTTGCAAACAGAATTGGTAGTGCAAATGGCTCCATCATGAGGAAATACCAAGAATGACAACAGCATTTATAAAGAGAAATTCTGTCTGAAGCTCAATTACAATACAAATATAAATATGGATTACATAGTTTAGAATATTAATGACCTCTTCAATGATTATATTATACCAAGGCAAATTGTACTCTGCAGAATGAACTAGGTTATCAAATGTGTTATACTGCTACTTAAAAGAAACTATACATTGTCTATTTTTGAAATACTATTAAACAGCTACAATGGGGTGATTCACTGATAATTTAATGATATTACCGAAAGTTGTAATCAGTTAATTATTAGAAAATAAAATAGAAAAAAAATATTAGAAAGTTCAATTCATTAGTGGACAACTGCCAGAATAATTAAATGGTTTACTTACTTTATGCGAAAACAACATATTTTCATCTCTACAATCTTCAAGCTATATACCTTTGCAGCTTCATTTTCCCCCTGTAAAAAAATACAGATGCATCCCAGTGAAAATATTTATAGTATTACAATTCATGTTTATTACATTAAAGCCGTATTTCCCCATACAATCTAGTCTTTCCCTCCTCTTCTTGGGACCTCACTTCAGCTGCTCTTGTTATACTAATTATTAATCATTATAATGTCACTAGCTACCTTTAAGTAAGGCAGCTAGAAAGGAAGATAATCATGAGAAGGTATTTTATAGAATTAAACTAAATGCATCTCCAATTAAAACACCATTAAAATAAACAATAATATTATCTGATTTCTCAGCGAGTCTATATTTTCACTCTTACATGCTTTTCCACCATACAGACATAGACTTCTATGTTTGCTTTTCTCTTTCTCCATCCCTTTCTTTCATATATGTGGAACTTTTGGCTTTTTACAATAGGTAATAGCAGCATCGGCTATACCAGTAGTAAACTTCATTTATTTTTCTTTTAAAGGGTTTAGAAGCTTGCCCCAGACTCAACTATATATTTTGCCATGTGAATTTCCTTTCTGCATAATTCATTGCATCTAGCCACATCCTATAGGGTATTTGGGCTGCTACAAAAATAGGGACAACCATTACATGGAAAGCAACAAGATACCGAAAGATCTAACTCTAGTGGTCAGCCAGATTATTGTGGTTTAGGTAGAGGAGACCTACTGGAAAAGCAGAATAGACAAATAAGGGTAATAAAAAGTAAGTCAGCCAGAAGGTAGAAGTGAACCAAGGGGCGGGGTGGAATGGACTTCTAAAGTTCCAGGTGTCACCGGATGTCACTGTTTCCAATATAAGGAGCAGAAGTTTAATTTTTTTTTTTCAAACCAGGATTTGAACTAAGGTTCAGATCCTGACAAAGAGGAATCAAACCAGGTTCCTGATCGGCATATATAGAGAATTTCTCTCTCCATCTCCCTTCCTTCCAGAAATATTGGAAATATGAGCTTGCTTAGCCATAAAAACAGTCTTCACAAAAGTTCTTTGCAAGGATAGAGAAAAGAGAGATAGCTTCTTCATTACTAACATATAGCATTATTTGAAGGAACACTTCAGAAAGCATAGTGGCTTGAATGGAATGCCTCTCCACAAAGCCCAGAGGCGGGAACATCCTCTAGAAAAGTGTTTCTCAACCTTAGCAACTTTAAGATGTCTGGACTTCAATTCCCAGAATTCTGCAGCTATTTGCTTGAAGAATTCTGAGTGTTGAAGTCCAGATACCTCAAAGTTGATAAGGTTGAGAACCACTCTTCTAGAAGACTCTGTGCAGTTGCTTCAAGGGTTTTCCCAAATTATCCATGCATGTAAACGAATATATATATATTATTTATTTATTTATTTATTTGATTTGCCAATTGTTTACAAGATAATAAGTATAAGTGTATACATAGTTGTGAATACATGAAATGGGTACATATAAGAAAAATAAAAGAAGAATAAGAGAAACAATAGGACAGGGACGGTAGGCACGTTGGTGCGCTTATGCACGCCCCCTACAGACCTCTTAGGAAAGGGGTGAGGTCAATAGTAGACAGTCTAAGGTTAAAGTTTTTGGGGTTTGGGGAAGAAACTACAGAGTCGGGTAGAGTATTCCAGACATTGACCACTCTATTGCTGAAGTCGTATTTCCTGCAATCAAGTTTGGTGCGGTTAACTTTGAGTTTGTATCTATTGTGTGCTCTTGTGTTGTTATGGTTGAAGCTGAAGTATTCATTGACAGGTAGGACATTGCAATGTATGATTTTTTATACCATGTACTTAATATAGCCACTTCATATTGTTGGCACCATGGGTTTTACTTGTACACAGGCACATAGGTACCTCCCAAAACAACTGTGCCAGGCCTATTGGAGGACAGACTATTGCAATACATCAAATCTTTTGCACAGCCCAACGATCATGGAAAACAGCAGAACATGGTTCTCCAGCAGAACTTAGATATTTCCCCTTATGCTTTTTTTTTTCTTAAATAGACCCATTTGTTTTCTCTCCCTTTCTCAATTAATTTGTACCTGACTGGTTCATTTTTTATTAGATGTCCAACTCCAGGATGCGATGGCAGTGGTCATGTGACAGGAAATTATGCATCTCACCGCAGGTAAAAAAAAAATGAAATGTGAGATCATTTGACAAACTATAAAGATACAAGATTGCAATTGGAAGTTCATAATATGTATTTACCAAGACCAACATGGGCCCAAGTTAAAATAATTTTAATCTGTAAGATCCTAAATAGATTTGGTAATTCACAAGATCTCCTTCACCTGCATGTACTTAATGAAACTTATGTTACCCCCCCAAAAAAAATCCTGAAGCCTTAGATTTGTTGAGTCTTACTTTGGTTAAGCTTTTAATTTATTTTTAAAAAGAAAAAAACAGTAATCTTTTTTTATTATTTTATTACAGTATCCTTAAAATTCTCTTGCATTTAATTTTCTTAGTGTTTCTGGATGTCCTTTGGCTGACAAGACGTTAAAATCCTTAATGGCGGCCAATTCTCAAGAGCTTAAGTATGTATTTGTTCCAAAGAAAGGGGAGGTATTGACTGATATGTTTCTTTACAAAGTTTTCTTTCCTCAAAATCCATTATTTAATAAGAGCAGCAAGTAAGGTTATTTGTAGTCTCTTTTTTCAAACACCACAGATCACTTTTACCAGGGATATTTTCTTTCTTCAGCTTAATTAAGCCATTCCAATCTCATGTAATTAAAATTGCATGATGGAAAGTCCAGACGGATGTGCTCATGGGTAGGAAAGGATTCAATTAGATAAGTATTGGGGTAAAACCCTTGTCCTTTAGTCTATCTCCTGAAGGACTACAATGGCAACAGTGGTGATAATGTTGGAGATTTTTTCCAGCCCCATTTTTCAGATGAATTTCTAAACATGAAACATTAAAATGATCCAGACCCATCAGTTTAATTGTATGGAGAATAGGCTGACTTTCTTTCAGTTCTAAAAATAAATAGCTTAGAGTTTAACAAATTAAGGGTCCAAATGAAATATTCAAGTTGCTGGTTATTATATATAGTACAAGGTCTAAGCTACCTATCTTCTTCACTTTCTGCCCATCTGATACAATGTTGCAAAGTGGTATGCTTTGGGTCATCTCAATTAAATGGTATCCGCTTTCAATACCTAGGGAATTCATAAATTAGATGCTGCTATGAGTGCAATAAAGCAAGGAAAAGTAACTCTATAAGGATCATTAACAATAGTTGAACATTATATTAGGATCAATAATAATAGTTGAATCTTAACTTTAAAAGAAACCAATGGTAAACCCCACTGACAGAGAATAATAAGAGGATGAAGAGGAGGGACAAACTTAACCATTGACATTTGAATGTTTTATACTCACCTGGTCACCTGCTGCTTTTAGAGTAGCTTTGAGTTGAAGAATAAGACTTTTGTCCAAGGTCAAGTTTAAAGTGCATGATGGAAGTGCATAACTATGCCTGTTGCAGAATGAGGAATAAGCTCTTCTGGAAATGAATGGCTGAAAATTCTGTTCTAGTGGGACAGAACTGACCCTAGACAGTTTCAAAGACTGGCTCCTGAGTTGATCTGTTCAGTGCATTCGGTCCAGAGGAATATGTTAAGAACCTCTTCTCAAAGGAGATCAAAGGAAAGAGACATAGCAAGCTGCTGTATAAGTTACATCTCTTTCCTTTAGAACACCTGACTTCAGAGGCCCAGACAATGTTGTTACAGTTTTCTATAGGCCAGTCAAACCTGAGTTCTTTTACTTGGCATTTCATGTTTGAAGAGTGCAGACATTACTCTGGGCCAGGCTATGGATACCACAATTTTTGGATGGTAGAGTAATGTGTTTATGTTTTATCAATACTTTTATATGACTGTACAGATAGTGAAGCTGGAAGCATAAAAATATATAATTAAAAAAATAAATACATGTACTATAGATACAGATGCATACATATTCTACCTTCAGATTTTTTAGTCAAAACAACTGATTGCCCAGCTAAGATATATGTCAGAAGTTACTTGTGGACAATATACTTTAGTTTACAACAACCATTGAAGCTTCCTAATAAATTACTAACAGAACAATTCATAAGAAAAGTTGCAGCTTGATTAAAAGAAAGCACTGAAGCACTATTCATACAGTAACAGTATAAGAACTAGAATCAAGCACCAAATCCATAGAAGAAAGGGTCTACCACACTAGACACAATCCAAGGTGCAGGCTGTGCAGAGAGGCCTCAGATACAGTGAAAACCATAGTGGCAGGTGTAATATACAGGTAGGGACAGTGGCACAACCAAGCAGCTGGCATTGTGTACAGGAATATCTGCACTGTGTATGTGTTGGACTGTCCCCAGTTCAGATGGGATATTCAACAGAAAGTCATAGAGAATAACAGAACTAAGACCTTGTGGGGTTTTCAGATCCAGATGGATACATAGGTACTGGCCAATCAATCAGACAGCATGATGGTAGACAAGCTGAAGACAGAGCTGGTGATAGATTTAATGGTGCCAAATGACAGCAACATCAGGAAAAGTGAATATGAGAAGCTGGAGAAGTATCAGACCAGAAGTGTAAACTGGAGAGGATGTCAAAAGTAAAGGGCGAATGGTCCCAGTGGTGATAGGAGCATTTCAGGGCTGCCAAACTGGAATAATGGTTCCAAGAGATTTCAGGAAGAAGATCAAAGCTATCTGTCCAGATGCATGAAGTGCTAGGAACGGCTAAGATACTGTGCAGAATCTTCAAACTCCTAGGCCTCTGGCAGAGTCCTCAAGATTGAGAAAGACACATATCACTCATAGGGATGAGAAGGACTTTTTAAAAATACATATAAAAGTTTTTTTTCACGGAGTAAAAATAATACAAACTTTAAGTTAAAGATAAAAGATAAGATATTAAAGCACTTTCTGTATTTCCACCATGAAGTGGCAAAACTGCAAAGAAAGGAAGTCCTAATGAAACTTTTGCTAAAGTTCTCAATTTAATAAGGTAGGAGTCATTTAAATATTTCTTTTTTTTCTCTATATTTTCTTTGATAGGTGCCCCACCCCTGGATGTGATGGCTCTGGTCACGTGACGGGAAATTATGCCTCTCACAGAAGGTACAGACCCTTTACTTATTCAAAAGTAAACGATTAGGAAGTCAGGAAGAGAAATAAACTGCTTTGCATACTTTTCTTTAGTTTGTCTGGCTGTCCTCGGGCCAGGAAAAGTGGTTTGAAAGTGACTCCTACAAAGGAAGAGAAAGAAGATCCCGAACTTAAGTAAGTAGACTTCCAAAGGTTTGTGGTAAATCACAAAACACACCGCAGTTGATCTCATTAACATATGCATGCTTATATAATAACAAATTGAAATAAAGTTACAAAAGCTAGTTTTATGGGTTCAGTGAACACTACTATTCCTGATATTGCAAAAAAGGTGTAATGCAGGAAAGTTGCTAAGCCTTTCCCTGAATATAATCTCTTCTACCCTGAGTTTATGATTAGCAATTATCCATGCAGATACATATGCTGATAAGTTTAATAACTGTCAAGTCTTTATGATGAAATATAATTGGGTATTTTAAATCTTTTAAAGTGGCTCTGGTAGACTAACCTTGGCTTGTCCATTAAATGCAATAAGTGGGTTAACACAAAAGTTAAGTTCACAAAAAATGCCAAGATATAATGTGGGTTAACACAGGACACTCATTTCAAAGCAACCCACATTATAGCTCTGGTCACTTATGTCATTTGTGAGATCAAATATGCTAAGAGCTTTCCATTAAAAGTCCTGCATGTGCATATTATTTTGCTAATTTGAATGTATTTTCCTTCTAAAGAGAGATCTTTAGACAAATATCAGTTTTGCTGTGCTCCTACAGATGCCCAGTGCTAGGTTGTGATGGCCAAGGTCATGTATCAGGTAAATACACTTCCCATCGCACAGCTTCAGGTTGTCCCATGGCTGCCAAGAGACAGAAGGAAAGTCCTCTCAATGGATCTTCACTACCCTGGAAGTTGAACAAGCAAGAGCTGCCACACTGCCCTTTGCCAGGCTGCAATGGGCTGGGTCACGTTAATAATGTTTTTGTCACCCACAGAAGGTATCCCTTTGTTTTTATTCTCCTTTTTCCCACCTTCTCTCAGCAAATATCTATAAGTCAATGGAGTTTTGCTCATTTGACAATCCTATTCAACTGATTTTCTAAGCTTTTTAAATAGCTCATCTTTCAGGGATGATCGGGGCTAGAATCTTTAATGAATACTTATGCATACTATATAACAATACATTATTCCTAGGATCAAATCACTGAACTAATATTGTATAGGCCTTTGAAGAATGGGCATCATAAGCTGTTCATAATTTGTTCTGTTGAGTTTCTAATGTGACTTCAAGGTCATAGATTTCCTAGCATGAATGTAGCTGGTTTGGCTGTAAGTAAAACAGTACTGCAAAAATATCAGATTTGGTGCTTTGAAGCAAGTACTATCAAGGTACAGCCATAATAGAACTGAACACTGAGTTGAAAGAGAACACAGTTGTAGCATGTTATTGGAAATCATATACAACAAATGATATTGTATTAACAGTATTATAAGGGTGGAGCATAATGGACAGCACAGTAAAACAGATTTATACTGACAAGATGTTGGAAGCTGAGTTGTGGCAATCAAAATATGTTTCAACTTTCATATAGGTCCCCTTTCCTACTCTTTTTAGTTTGTCTGGATGTCCCCTGAATGCACAAGCCTTAAAAAAAGGCAAAATATCTGAAGAACTAATGGCTGTTAAATTGAAAGCAAACGGAGGTAAGGAAATTAGATTGCAGAAATATAGTATCAAGTGTATCTGTGTGATACACTTTGCTCTCTGTCTTCCATCAATAGATATTGACTATAGGTAATATGTAATCCTTTTGATTAGCCACTATGGATGCCCTTTTCAAAGCTATTAAAGTTTATGATCAGGCATATGCAAAGTTGTACTTGCATTAATTATAAATTTACATTTACCACGTTATCACTTTACTGATATCCAAGGGAAAGATCAGCAGTTCCTACTTCTATATAATTCAACACGTATAGCTTATTTTTTGCACCTGTTTCATATAACGTAGCTGAAATTGATAAATAAAAATAGCTGAAATTGATGCATAGATTACATACCAAAATTGTGTTCCCTTTAAGCAGGGATGTCAAACTGGCGGCCACTGGCCGGATGTGTCACGTGCATGCCACACCCATGCCGGCTACATGAAGGGAGAAAACGTCATGATATGTCGCATGAAAGTAATGTGACACCGCGAGTTTTGACACCTGTGCTTTAGATCCTCAACAATAGGCACATAACAATAGGCACTTCACTTCCTCAACAATAGGCACCTAAACCAGTAGTAATCGGCTACACACAGGTCATACAGACCATGTTAGCTCCTAATAAATCCTTTGAAGTTTTTGAAGCTTGGCTTGAAGCTCATGATTTAATTAGGGCCACTGCCGGAATCCTGACAGAAGGAAGATGAGAAAAATATGATTCTGATAAGTGTAGAATAAAATTGCTAATATGTAGTTTTGATTCGTGTTAAATGGGTGGGTATCTAACAAATTTAAGCCTCAATTTCACAGTGTTTCTAAAGACAGATGTGGATATTTTCAGGACGAAATTTTATACTTGATTTGAACTAGTAAATCTTGTGCAGGTTTAGAAAATGAAGAGGAAATCAGACACTTGGATGAAGAAATTAAAGAACTAAATGAATCCAACCTTAAAATTGAAGCTGACATGATGAAGCTCCAGACACAGGTAAGGACAAAACTACTTCACTGAGATATAGCAATAATACATATTTTTCCCCAGTGACCCCTTTTAGTGCTTAAAAGGATCTGGTCTCCTGCTCTTCAGAAAGTTAGCTTGGTTTGGGAGGGAAATGAAGGCCATTGCTAAGGAAGAATACTGGTGGCCAGTCAGTGCAGGCATTCTCTATGTGCAGCTCATTCTCAGAAGAACAGGAAAAGGGGCCATAGTGACAGATGGTAACAGCATGAACAACACATGAACACTTCCCTGTGTGCTATTTGCCAGTTGGCACATGCTCTGCCTCTTCCTGGTTGGACCACACTAAGGCCTTGGCTGCCGCTGAGCACTACCAGCTGAGTTTTAAAATGCTGACTATCCTGACATGGCAAGTGGTTCATATTGCTTTAGGCTGAGTCTAGGAATGCTTGTTTGCCAGATCTATTGGAAAGAAAGGAAGGATAAAAGTAAAATATTTTAAAGTGATGTGTTATGAAAGAGCATGTGAAGAGAAGGAAAGGACTGGAAAAAAAGGAATTAAAAGAGCTAATATGTCATTGTACATGTTCCTCACTATGGGTAGTAATTCAGACACAGATTATAGTATAGATGATCTCAAAGAGCCATCCCTGGTGGGATGATGTTCTGAGACAGTTTGGGATTTCATAGTCATCATGACAACTGTGGGTTTGTGCCAAGTTATTATAGTCCAATGCTTAGGAGGCCACATATGAGACCTGATTTATACTTTGGAGCAATTGAGGCATGATCTGGTGGTGGTACATATAAGAGGTACTCCATTGTCATTGACAGATCACTTTTCAGTGACCATGGAATTGAATGGCTTTACTGATCACTACAAGGAGATAAATCTAATTAGATCAGTCCATCCCAGCATAGAATAGATTCTACTGGCTGCCAAATGGCATTTGGAGAGTTACCCAGCAGTCTATAGGATGGTTTTGTTAGGATTCCAGTTGTCTTCTGAAGTATAGATTGTAGAAAGGATTATATGCAATCTTTTCAGTCACAATACAGGTCTGGGCAGAGGTTAGAAATTAGAGTGGTCATTATTGATGATTGTTGAGGTTTAGATAACTGAGAACATGATCGTCTTAGTCCTTATGCATCTTTCAGAAGTCTTGAATACTATTAGTCAAGCTATCCTCCTGGATCATCTGTGAGTCTTAGAAGTTAGGGGTTCATTTTGTGCTAGTTTATTTGTTTCCTATGGTTTGACATGGGTTGGGGCAAAACATAGTTTGATCCCTTCAACACTCTAGTACAGAATGCCACAGAGATTAGCTTTCTTTCCTATCTTATTTAACATTTACATGAAGCCTCTGGAAGAGATCTACCAGTTTGGGGTTGGTATCATTAATATATGGTGGAATCTAAATCCAGGGTCTGGAGACTGTAGCAGTGGCTTCTGAACAGAGGTGGTATTCAACCGGTTCGCACCTACTCGGGCGAACTGGTAGCGGTTATTTGGTGTGGGTCGCCGAACCAGTGGTGACCCCTGGCTGGCCACGCCCCCAACCTGGTCGCCTGGTCACTCACTTGCGATCGGTCTCCTACCTTTCCGTTCCCCACGTCCTCTTTCTCCCCGGGGGAAAGGAAGAAAGGCACGGACACTGCAAGTATTGCTTTCCTCGTGTGAGTAAAGTGCCTGGAGTGAGAAAGAGTGTGGTCTGACAGAGGGGGTGGGGGTGAATCGAGCCTTGGAGCACTTTTGCAATGTAAAATAAATGCATTTTGGAAGCAGGTCCTTTAAAAACTTCTCCAAGGATTCCCCATGGACGCTGCAAGTATTGCTTTCCCCGTGTGAGTTAAAGTGCTGGAGTGAGAAGGAGTGCGGTCTGACAGAGGAGGTGTGGGAATCCACTCCAGCCTTGGAGAAATTTAAAGGAGCTGCTTCCAAAATGCTTGTCTGTTAAGTGCTCTGTGTGTGTGTGTGTGTGTGTGTGTGTATGAGGGGAGGGAGGGAGGGAGGGAGGGAGGGAGGAAGAAAGGAAGGAAGGAAGGAAGGAAGGAAGGAAGGAAGGAAGGAAGGAAGGGAGAGGAAGGGAGAGAGAAAAAGAAAAAATAGGAAGAGAGAGAGAGAGAGAGATAAAACTCTGTGCTATTATTTTTAATTGTTCCATTATTTATCGTGTGTTAATATATTACACTGTCCCTACACCTAGAGTGATTTTTCTGCCTTTCTTTTGCCCAGGGCTACCACATATTTTTCAGGGTTTACATGCATTCAATGTCAATAGTCCAGAGCATAAAGTACACAATGGTCTTCTAGTCCAACCCCCAGCTCAGGCAAGAAAACTGAGGATGCCAAAGTCTGAGTAGAAATCCTGGGAAAGATGTCAAAATAATACTTAGAAGGGACCTTGGGGTGAACCCTATACCATTTCAGAGAAATGACTGTCCAGTCTTTTCTTTCTTTCTTTTTTTTTTAAACAGACTTTATTCAGTTTTCACATTAAAAACAAAAATCTCTTTTTAGTGGATAACATATTTCCGGGTCATCATTTTTAGATACAAATATGACAGAAATTATACATTGATATATGCATACTTAATTCTATTATTACCTTTTCCATTCCAAATTTTCAGTAAGGAGAGAAACAAACACATTAATTCTAGCCTCTTTCATTAATTTCAATCAATTTTGTTTCATTTCAATTATTTCAAATATATTTTTAAACGTAAAGATAAACAATATATATTTGCCTAATAAATAATAATAAGGTTTAATTCTAAATTCTTTCATTAATCCCAATCTAAACATTTTTAAATTTCATTTCAATTATTTCAAGTATAATCCTTAATATTTATTTTAAAAATAAAAATAAACAATATATATTTGCCTAATAATGGTAATAATGAAGTTCAATGTCTCTCCTTGCTTTTAATAATCTATATTAAACTTATTAAGCTTATTAATTTAGCTGGTTCTTTAGTCTGTCACATTCCCTTTCCATTACACTTTTTTTTATAAATTCTAAATTAATACAGATCTTAACACACCCACACAAAAAGAAAAAAAACAAGTATAAGTTTCCCCTTTTACTATTTTAAGTGTTCCACCTTAATGATTAGAATATACCTTTATTCCCTCATCTTAATTCCCAATAAACCATTAGTCATTACATCTTCTCAATTGGATTCCACAGCATATTTCCCCCCCTTTAATAAGAGTTATCAGTATCTATATTACCCTATTTTCTAAATATTTTTAATTGCAGAAATATTCTTATTACCCCTTGTCACCCTGCAGAATCCCCCCCTTAATTCATCAACCATTATCTCTGAAAAGGCAATTTCTTTTCAACATTTTACTAGTTCTGTGTTTCTCTCTTTCACCCACGTGTTTCCCACTGCTTCTCCTCCCCCTCTCTTGCCCATGTCTTTTCTCATTCTTTCTGCATTTCCTGACTTCACAAGTATTCCTTCTTTTAATTGTAAAGAAACAATTTCCTTTCAACATTTTACCAGTTCTGTGTTTCTCCCCTTCACATGCGTGTTTCTTACTGCTTCTCCTCCCTCTCTTTTCCCCATAACTTTTCTCATTCCAATTTATCTCCTTAATATCTTCCCTTCCCCTTTTCTGCTGAATCTTCCTGCGTCTCCTAACTTCACAATTATTCCCCCTTTTAATTGCTTTCCTGAAATTCAACTTTTTAACCTTCCTTCTTTCCCCACTTCTTTGTAACGTTCTTTGTGTTAATTGTCCATTCAAAATGTCTTCTCCTTGAGTCAATTCCTGGTCCTCTGAGAATCTTTCTTCTTGTTCTTCAATCGCCATTTCCATTTTTTCTAGCACAGAGCAAAGTGATTCGCCTCTTTCCTGTAGTAATTCTCTCATATTTTTAAGTTCCATTTTTAAATCCCAGAGAGATATCATCATTCTTATATTTTATGATCCTTAAAGTCCACAAAAAGAAACCACTTTTACTTTCCTTCTTTCTTCTTTCAATTTTTTAAAGTTCTCAGCTATTCCAGTCCAGGGTCTAAACCAAAAACATCAATCAGTCCCACAAACAATCTTTCCTTCCTTGCTTTTTCCTTTATTCTGGTTCTGCTTTCACTTTCCAAAATTCTTACTTTGTTTCAATATTTCTGTAATGTTATATCCATATCAGTTCATTCAAAAACAAAATGTTTTCCTTTTTATTTGAACTAAATTTTTATCAAAAGGTGACACTCTCCATTATACGAAGTCTTCACTTTTCCCCCCCTGTATTTTTATTTAAGGTTTTTCGAACCTCAATATTCCAACACAATCCAGCCTCCAATTTGTAAACTTTATTATTATTATTCTTTGACAATCTTAAATCCAGCTTTAATTTTATACTTGATTATTCCCAAATTATTTTAGTCCAATTTCATAAAATCTTTAATTCCAGCTTCTTCCTTTCCCGGTTCGAAGCCCCATTTAGCTGACAAAAATATTTTCCTTTTTTTCTCTGTCTCTTTGTAATTTCGCCGCTCACATTTCTTTTCTTAAAAGTTCTATGTTACCTTAATCCCGGGGTACTTTTATTTGGTTATGTTGCCCAGTTGTCCCGGTTCAGATGTTATCCACCTCTTTCTTCCCTCCTGCACAAATCTTAGTCAAGCTGAGTCATCCTCTTCGGGATGGCCATTTTAGACCATCGCTGCAGTCGTCTTCGGGAGGAAAAAAAAACAAGCCCGGGGGGGGGAGATGCGGCTCCCCACAAACAGGCTTGTTACTTCCTCTTACTCCGCTGCCCCTCCAAGGCAGTTTCAGCCCCTAATCAGGATGATTGGGGCTCTCCGACGAAAGAGCACGAACGATAGCCGCAGAGAGTTGCGATCTACCGCCCGTCGGCGAGGAGGCTCCCAACTCCTGTCCAGTCTTTTCTTAAAAACTTCCAGTGACTGAGCACCCCGAACTTCTGGAGACAGGCAGTTCCACTGGTTAATTGTTCTCACAGTCAGGAAGTTTTTAGGTTGCTTCTCTCTGTTCAGTTTCTATCCATTGCTTCTTGTTTGCATTCTGCTTCTTTGGAAAATACATTGTCCCCCTTTCTTTATGGCAGCCCCTTAAAAGCTTGTTGCCTATCACACTCTTGAGTAAAGCATGTGAGCCATTTCCTCCTTTTAGTGGTCCATGAAAGTACATCTATAGTATGCAGATAATAAAGTCAAAAAAGGTGAACAACATTTTTACAGAACTATAGATAGGTTGAGGCTGGGTGACAAGGAATGGCTGGGAGGGGAGGGGTCAGGTGAGGCACTCCTTGATGTGAGTGACATTGAGTTGGCCATGCCCACCCAGTCACATGACCACCAAGCCATGCCCATCCAGTCACATGACCACCAAGCCATGCCCACCAAATAAGCCATGCCCACAGAACCGATAGTAAAAAAAGTTGAATTCCACCACTGCTTCTGAAGCTGACTGATTCCAGAATAAAACCAACTTTAGGCTGTGAAAAGAATTGGATTCCCCTAGAAAAAGCTAGTGAGCAATTTCAGAATCCTGTACTCTCATCTCCTAGTAGAACAGAAGTTAGAAGCTGTGACCAGTAAGTCCTTTGCCCAGCTCTGACTGGGGTGTCAGTTGTTGCCAATCTTAGAGCAGAAGACTGTGGCTAATTTTGCCCAATTAAAGGATATAGGCATGAGAATTTAAATAGTATATGAGCAGTTCACAACCATCAAGAAATTGCAATCAGTGCACAATGCAGCATGCTGTCATTATAAGACTAGTACCATAGGACCTGCATAGGTTTATTTCTGGCTTAAAGACAAATGTTGTTTGTAACCTTTAAAATCCTATCTGGCTTGTGCCTGATTATCTGCAGACCACTAATTCTAAATGGAACCTGCTTGCTGAGTGCCCCTGAAATATGGTGAGAATGAATTTGTAGGCAACTTGCAGGGGCTCTTCTCTTATGGAATGCCTTCTTTTCTTCCTGAGCACAGAAGAGTTATCAGATGTTTCTATTGTAACAAATAGTTATCATGTTCACAAGGAGTGACTAAATCTCTAACTTTGGAATGCTAACTACATACCACATATTACCTAAATATAGATTTGTTTGTAGTGTATAATGTGCACTGTGCAGTCCTATAATTGCACTCATAAATCTGGCACTGTAGCAGCATGCAAACAGTGGTGAGAATTGCAACGTGATCAGAAAGAAACTCATGGAAAGTTTGCAGTTTGTTGTGATGACCAGTGGAGCCTGAACAAAATGTGGCCCCTAATCTAGGATTATTTATTCTGATAATAAATAATAAATTCATTCAAGATGATATTTTTGTTAGCCCTTCTTGTCAAGAGGGTTCCTCTTTTTTTTCTATTCTGTTTCTTTTATTTTTAGCCTTTTACATTCAGAAGTGTTATAATCTCAGTTATCACAGCATTGCCTTATCTAGCTCTAGTGTGAATACCAAGGTTGTTATTATTGTAGGGAGTCAGCAGGGATGCTGCAAGGAAAAAAAAATCAGCAATGTAAACAGCAGTTTGTTTGCTTCTTTTTCTGTATGCCCAACAGCAAAATTCTTTTTTTAACCAGGCAGTTTTAAGCGACCACTAAGCTTTCTCCTATTTTGTCAAATTGAGGCCTTTCATCCACCTGTGAACTCCCACAAAACAAGCAAGGAAACAAATACTTGTTTTTTTTATCCGAAAGGTTTTCTACTACTGTTTAGAGTGGAGACAAGCAACTTTCCACAAGTTGGAGCTGGGTGGAAGCATGGGAAGGGGAAATGGAAGCAGGAACCAAACAAATTCAATTACTTTACACTTTTTCAAAAAGAATGTGTTGTTAAAATTAGCCATTTTTCTGATGAATATGGTTAACACAAGTTTGTGAGCCTCAAGGTTGCATCTCCTCTGCTTGGTCTTTCTGAGATTGTTCTTATACATAGTTGTAGCTTTATATCAAGAGCCTAACTATTCATTTTGCCATCTCTCATTTTTATTTATGGATTCAGATCACATCAATGGAAAGCAATCTGAAAACCATAGAAGAAGAAAATAAACTGATAGAGCAGAATAATGAGAGCCTATTGAAGGAACTAGCTGGCTTAAGCCAAGCTCTCATCTCCAGTCTTGCCGACATTCAACTTCCACAAATGGTACAGTATGTTTGTGACTAAGAATTCTGCACTTTCTGTACAAGTCTAAGAATAGAGAAGTATATGGTAGCATCTTGCAGGGCTGTCAAATGGAAAATTATGATGCAGAATCCATTCATCCCACTGTGAAATTATGGAAAAATCTTTATTAGCAATTCCAGGTAGAATAATGCTTTAAATAGAAAAGAATAATATTTTTGGAGTGGGACAACCCATCTTGTAGAGAGATAAGAGATATACAGGTATTCTGAATTTACAATTTACAATTAAGTCCAAAATTAATGTTGCTAAGTGAAAAATTTGTTCAGTGAGCTTCACCCATTTTATGATCTTTCTTGTCACAATTGTTAACAGTCAGTTATAACAATCAGTTAACAACTGCAGTTGTTAAATAGGCAACACAGTTTTTAAGTGAATTTGACTTCCCCATTGACTTGGCTTGTCAGAAGGTTGCAAAAGCAGATCACATGATTCCGAGACATTGCAACCGTCATAAATATGAACCAGTTGTCAAGCATCCGAATGTAAATCAGATGACATGGGGATGCTGCAAGGGTCATATGTGTGAAAAACGGTCATAAGTCACTTTTTTCAGTGCCATTGTAACTTTGGTCACGAAATAAACTGTTGCAAGTCGAGGACTACACAGCTAACATGAAGATGGATGATTTTTTTTCGAATGTCTAATCCAGGGGTGTCAAACTCAATTTCACTGAGGGCCACATCAGGGTTGTGTTTGACCTCATGGGGGCTGGCTAGGCATGGCCAGCTCGACGTCACTCATGTTGGGGGCACCTGTGGTAGCCCGAGCACTCTGCCAGTGAAAACGGGCCCTCCCAAGCTCCACTTTCACTGGCAGAGGCACCACGGGCTGGTCCTTCACTGTTTGTGACGGCCCGTTTTCACTGACAGAGTGCTCAGGCTACCACAGATGCCCCCAACATGAGTGGGCCTTGAATTTGACACCCCTGGTCCAATCCAAGGGTTGAACTTATACACATACAGTAACTTTGCCAATGGCATACTGTGTACTGCTTTTATTTGACAACATTGCCAATGGGAAACCAGCATCTGGTCCCTTCTCCCCCCCCCCCCCCCCCCCCCCCCCATGAACAGGAGTTCAATATAGACCAAGTTACTTGGTCCCCTTCCTTTAATGGCAGCAGGGAAATAAGATTCCACTCTTGCTGCAAACCAGATGACAGTGATCAATTGGTAAGAGGGAAAAAGGCTCCCCATTGTTCTATGGCCACGATATCTGTGGCCAAAGGCCACATGTTGAAACAAGGAAGTAGATAAATACTGTATGGGTAACCCACAAAAGAACCACTCCAGTGGTGGGATTTCATTTTTTTTACAACCGGTTCTGTGGGTGTGGCTTGGTGGGCATGGCAGAGGAAAGATAAAATCTCCAGTCAAAGGTGATATTTGCCTGTTCTCTGAACTACTCAAAATTTCCGCTATTGGTTCTCCAGAACTGGTCAGAACCTGCTGAATACCAGCTCTGAACCACTGGCATTATCATCACATCACCTATGTATATTCAAAGATTTAAACACACATACTGACACACAAACAGAGCCCCCGGGCAAAAAAAAAATCACTTGCCTCTGCTTTGAATTATATAGCAACTCAATCACAATCAAACCTCCATATGCCTGTTGTTTTCAGACCAAAAACAGGTGATATCTTTATTTTGTTTTATTTGGTTTGTCAATTGCTTACAAGATAATAGGTTTAGGTAAAAACATGGTTATGAATACATAGATACATATAAGAAAAATAAAAGAGACAATAGGACAGAGACGGTAGGCATGTTGGTGCGCTTATGCACACCCCCTACAGACCTCTTAGGAAAGGGGTGAGGTCAATAGTAGAAAGTCTAAAGTTGAAGTTTTTTGGGTTTGGGGAAAAAAACCACAGTCAGGTAGAGTATTCCAGACACTGATCACTCTGTTGCTGAAGTCGTATTTCCTGCAATCAAGTTTGGTGCGATTAACCTTGAGTTTGTATCTATTGTGTGCTCTTGTATTGTTATGGTTGAAGCTGAAGTATTCATTGACAGGTAGGACATTGCAATGTATGATTTTATATACTATACTTAGATCGGACCGAAGGCAGGATAGTTCTAGGTTTTCTAGGTCTAGAATTTCAAGTCTGGTGGCATAAGGTATTCTGAAATGAGTAGAGGAGTGGAGAACTCTTCTTGTGAAATATTTCTGGACTTTCTCAACTGTGTTAATATCAGATACATAATATGGGTTCCAGACTGATGAGCTGTATTTGAGTATTGGTCTAGCAAATGTTTTGTATGCTCTAGTTAGTAGTGTAATATTACCAGAGAAAAAGCTATGTAAGATTAGGTTAACAACTCTTAATGCCTTTTTGGCTATGTAGTTAAAGTGGGCTTTAAGCACTTAGATCATTAGAGATGAGTACTCCAAGGTCCTTGACAGAGTTTGGATCATCAACAAGGTCTTGACTAGTCAGCCTGTATTTTATTTTCTGATTTATTTATTTTTTGCCAATATGTAAGAGAGCATTTGTTTGTTGAGATTTGAAGTTGCCATTTGTTTGACCATTCTGATACATAGTTGAGGTCTTTTTGAAGGGTAGCAGTATTGTCTGTGGTGATGAATAGCTTTACATTGTCAGCAAAGAGGACACAGTTGCTCTTAATATGATCACAGAGGTCATTTATGTAGAGTATGAAGAGAGTTGGTCCTAGAACACTGCCTTGGGGGACACCACTGTTGACAGGTACAGAATTTGATAGGATATTCCCAATTTTGACCATTTGTTGTCTGTTTGACAGGAATGCTTCTATTATGCAGGTGTCCAGAGATACCATACAATTTTAGTTTTAGGAGTAGTTTGTCGTGTACCACTGAATCAAAGGCTTTACAGAAGTCTACGTAGATTGCGTCTATTGCTTTGCCCTGATCAAGTTGTGTAGTCCATATGTTTTTGCAGTGTAAGAGTTGCAGATTCAGGATAGTTTTTTTCTGAAACCAAATTGTTTATTGGAGAGTAGGTTGTTCGTCTCTAAGTGGAGGATAATGGATTGGTTAATAATTGATTCCATGACTTTACAGGTGACGCAGCATAAAGAGATTGGTCTGTAATTTTCAACTAGGCTGGGGTCTCCCTTTTTTGAAGATGGGGATGACCGTGGTTTGTGACCATAGTTTTGGCAAGGAGCTGGTCCTGAAAGATTTTTCAAAGACTATGCTTAGAGGTTCGGCTATGGCAATGGATAGCTTTTTTAAGAAGCTAGACAGATGTCCATGTGATGTTGAAGTAGCTGCCATGGATGACAAAGAATTACAAATATCTATCTGCAGCAACTTGCTGGGACATCCAAGTCAGGTGGTATAAAGAGGTCCTTTACTTGTTTGTAATATGGCAAGTATACTAGCATTACAAGTGAATGCACTTACACAGGGATAAGCATGGAGAAAAGGGATGTCTATTTAACATGATTAAGGGATGTCTATTTAACATGATTCCAGCTGATTGCTTTTACCAGAAAAAAAGTTCTAACTTAGATTTTAAAAACTCAGTTCCCATGCATCTCAGCCAGATTCAGATCTGCAGTCCACAGGTAAGAAATCTTCTCTCTCTGGCTAATGTCCCACTGATCTTTGATTTCTTTGTTTTACGTTATGCCTTTGTCTTTATTTAGGGCCCGATCAGCGAGCAGAATTTTGAAGCGTACGTGAATACGCTTACAGATATGTACAACAATCTGGAAAGGGACTATTCCCCAGACTGCAAGGCTCTGCTGGAAAGTATCAAGCAAGCAGTGAAGGGTATTCATGTGTAGGATGGAAGAACTGCTGGGCACAAGAAAGTCTCAGCAGCTGCAAATTCCAGATGAATCCATGAAAAGCACCTGGACTGCTTGGAAATATTGGTTGCTGTGCTGCATTTAATAATTACAACATTGCACTATTTTTTTCCAGCTGACATAAAAAGGACATTAAACATAACAGACTATTGTATTAACAGCAATGAGTTAGATCATCAAACATATTTATTTTCTGTACAAATCCTTTTTGTTGCCATTGTCGTTTTGCACTTGTTTCATTTTTGTAAAGTGAATGTACAAAGTGTGTGTAACTATTTTTTTACATTTTTAATTTATTTTCAATCAAAGAGTTGTATGGATTTTTTTTAAAGAAAAGATTGTTTAACAGCATTTCTTGCAGCCTGCCATATTTTTACAAATGTGTTTGTTAATTTATTTTCCAATGGGATTTTAAATAGATTGAAAGTTATTGTGTAAATTAAATAATGTGCTGGGTTTGTACAGGAAGAAAAAAAATACTATGAAAGAAACAAAGTAACAGAACCGTGATTCTAGTTTATTTTCACCACATCCTGCTTTTTATAACAATTTTTTTTATGAAATAAGAAATGGGTTTGCAAATAGCATGAGAGGCAAAGACCCAGTGATACCAAGGTGAAGGGTGCCCTCTAGTGATAATCGCCTTGAGCACAGCATGCAGTAAGAGTTCAAGAATTTTTGTAGCAATAATGAAATATAGCAATCAGCAAACCACTGGATCCAGCTACAGCCTTAGCTTACATGAAATAATTGTTTGAAACCATTCAGGGGAAAACTGGATTGATTGAAGGATACTTTCTCATTGTCCCAATTTCATGCTCATTCATGAAGGAAGATCAAACTGTTTAATCGTTCAAATAAGATAGGTTCGAAGTACAGAAGCTGGTGGGGGGAAATTGTTCTGTTTACCACTATCAATATAATTTCATATTGGAAAAGTGCTTCCCAAGTTGATAACTTTGTACATATCACAAAGCAAGGACATTAAACACTACTTATCATTCAGCTCAATATTGTCAACATCAACTGGTAATAAATCTTAGGAGTGGCTTAGTTGATAAAACTTATTTTTACACCGAAGAAAACAGAGAACATCCAGAAGTGACTAGTGTACATATTGGAGTCTTGTATAACTTTGAATCAGGTGGCAGCAAGTTTTAGTTTCCACTGATTATGGCAAGGAAGGCCTTCAAATATTGCAGTCTGTAAGCCTCATTCAGAAATACACATTTGTCCAAAGTGAGCCCTTTCATAATCTGTATTCAGTTCCTGTTTTGTAACTGCTCTGAACAAAGATCCAACATTTATTTTAGGGAGTGTAAAAATAATAAATAATTCCCCCCCCCCTCCAGAATGTTAACATTATTTTTTTTTAAAGAAAAAGAAAATACAAGCCACCATCTGAACTGCCTTTACCCATTCGTACATATCTCATGTGCATATGTGCCTCAGTGGAAAGTGTATAATGGCTACAGCATAGGCTTTATTTTTTTGGTGCTACAATGACCATGGTTAGTTTTATTTGCCAACATTATATCTCAATCAAGTATGACCCTGCTCACAGTCTTCATTCATACATAGAGTGTTCCTATCCACAGATTGCCTTTCGGTCATTCTCCAATTTTCATATGCTGTGATTGCTCTTTGGCATTAGGTGAGCTTGCTGTTTGTGTGTGGAGGGACTGGCTTGGCCCTCCGACCTTAGTTTAGACAGGAGAGGTGTATGTTCTTAGAAGCTGTGCTTATTTTTTAAAGAAAACGATTTGACAAAGCTACAGTATGTGCTAATATAAATTAGAACACCAAATTGCTATTAAATTATTGTACTTGTTGGTTCGTTTGTTTGTTATAAGACATTTGCTGATGCCAGTTTAAGGCATACAAAGGCATTTACCCATGACAAAAAGTAAGAAGTAATGTACTAAATATTTTAAGAAAGTAATTCTATATTTTATTTAAATTAAATTAAGCAATCTCTTTTTAATCTATTTATTATTATTTACTATGGCTTTCAGTTAATTTATCTGTGTTTGGATTTTTGCTCAAGATGTACCTTCATATTTATTTGCCTTCTTTGTATTTGATGTTCTGTAATGTGAGCTGTGATTCTTCCCTTCCTCTGTCTTCCCATTTTTCTTTCTTTTTCCTTTCCTTTTTTCTGGGTTAATTTGCTTTGATGAGCTATCCTGTAAATTCAACCTTTTGTAAAGGACAATGATGTATGCATTTTTTTTAATTTTTGGGTAGTTTGTATACTGTTTCTTCATACAGTTAATATTTCTTACATCAAAGCAACAAAACTGTGTTCTGTGCTGTACATTTGGTGTATGGTAGGAAATAAAAACTGATACTGGAACGGCTTCCACAAGTTATCTGGCATTTTTTAAAATTCCACACGCTGCATGCTGCTTTTTTAAAGTACTCTCAGGAACTCTCATGTTGACAGATGTATGACTTGCACCCCGAGACTTCAGAGTAAAAAAACTCCTTAATCAGAGGCAACTGCTCAGGGGCACAGGATATATATAGATGAGTCACACATATTTTGACTTCACTATGGTTAGGAACAGATGTCTGTGATAACAGGTGATAAGGGTAAATGTTTAGCAGGGGTGGGATTCTACCAGTTTGCACCTATTCACTAGAACCGGTTGTTAACATTCTAAGTGTCAGTTTTGAAATTCAGCTGCCACATATAATGGAAGGGGAGGGTGGAGGAGTTGAAAAGTTCAAGGTTATTCTGTATGTCGTACTAAGAAATTCCAGTTGCAGTTAATTGGTTCTCGTGATTTATGAAGTGTAGAAGTGGGAGGAGAGAGAGGTCGATTCTGTGTAATGCCCGAAAATACTTTCACTTTGGGAAATTGCCTTAGACGTACCATATCTGTTTCTAAATAAATCAATTGGAGAGAATATGTCTCGGAGTAATTGATATCATGGATACTTTCTGGGTGCCTTACACTAAGCAGTTTGGATAACCAGTTGTTAGAAGAAATTACTGGCCTAATCCTGTAAGGAAAGCAGGAAGGAAACATTCTGGTGTTGCTTCGTTAACCCTTATTACATTCTTGGCAGGACTAGACTTCCTGTCTCAGGAACTTCTCTGGAGTTTTTTTCCCCCTCCTTTGCTGGTACTTTGCTTGTGTGGAATGACCATGCAAAGTTACAATGGCACTGAAAAAAGTGACTTATGACCATTTTTCACACTTACAACTGTTGCAGCATCCCCACAGTCATGAGAGTCCAGGCGAGGAGATGCGTGCCTCGATGTGAGTGATATTGAGTTGGCCACGCCCAGCCAAAAACATGACCACCAAGCCACATCCACTTGGTCACATGACCACCAAACCACACCCACCAACTAAGCCATGCCGACAGAACCGATTGTTAAAAAATTTGAATCCCACCCCTGATGTGCAGCATATTGAACAGTTTTTGTTTGTTGTGAGTTTGTTTTTTATTATTTGGAAAATGTTACCTAGGTTCTGTGGAGTATGCAACATCTCTCTCTCTCTCTCTCTCTCTCTCTCTCACACACACACACACACACACACACACACACACACACACTGTTCAAATCTCACCAAGGTCAAGGATGACTCAGCCTTCCATCCTTCTGAGATTGGTAAAAGGAGGACCCAAAATTGTTGGGGGCAATATGCTGACAATTATTGCTACCTGCCCCTACTTATATCTAAACAGAATTTTAAACAAAATTTATTTATTTTTAACATGACAGGACATATCTTAATACATAATGTGTAAAATTTTACTGTTTGTTAAGCAGTATCAGTATTTACTTTGATAGCTATGCACTAGGCAATAGATGAAATTTGAAAAACTGATACCGTATGCAAATTTGCAATATTAGTATTAGAATTTATATCAGCCCCTGATAAATAGCTCACTAGAGTGATTCACACAGATATTTCTTAGCAACCGCTACCACTCCTCCAGTAGCATTTCTAGAGTCAAGACAAGCAAACATGCAAATAAATCCCAAGAGAATGAGGGTGGCAGTTTTGAGCCAGAACTAATGCAAATGCATAAAAAAAATTAAACATCTCCCTTTGGAAGCAAATAAGACTGACCATCCTTAATAAAATATTTTTCTCCTTCACTGAACAGAACTCCCAGGTTGCTTTCAAGAATCTAATGAAAGTTATTTTCTTTCCATTTTAAAAATAGTGTTTGGGAAGTTCTTTATGTCTGAGATACACCCTGGCTATTTTAATTGAGCTAAAAGGGTTGACTGAGTAAGGGAGAAATTAATGTCTCTGAGGTAAAAAATAATAATCTTAAATACCTTGAAAGACAGAATAATGAGTCCTTGCCTTAACAAAGCTGTTCCATACCCTTAAGATCATAAAATGTCACATAGTCACAGTACCCTTTTTCTGGTTAAATTATTTCAGAAACTACAGATTACTGAACCCCTACTACTACAGAGTAGAGTAGGAGAGAAATGTTTTCCCACATGACTCACTATAACTAAATTCTTTCCCACTAGCTTTGGAAACAAGTGACCTTAGAAATAGATTACTATGGCCATTCTATGTGTTAGGATGATTATGTTCAAGCCTGTAAGGCAAGTGTGTGGGGAAAAAAAAAGTACTAGAATCCATAGATTGCATTGGACATGGATTATATTGCTCCAGACTCAAGACTAACTTTCCATGTTCTTTATGAGTCACCTGAGAGTAGACAATACGGAGGCCTTTTCAGTACTATAAAATTATACCCCGCAAAATTACAGGCTATTCTAACTACAGCTATCTTCAACAATATCCAAGTAATGCCAACCTGCTTTCTTAATATACCAATTCACTAGATGAGAATTAATGAAGTGAGACTAAAGTTTTTGAGTTTGGGAAAACCGTACTCAAATAGTTCTAGAACAAGAGTGTCAAACTTGAGTTGTCACAGCCTCATGATGTGATGTATCGTGACTTTTCCCCCCTTCACTAAACCAGGCA